TGATAGGCAATCCACGAATAACAGTTCAACACACCATTGGGAAGAGTACGCCGATCGTCTGAATCGCGCTGAGTGGCTACCGGGACCACGTGGTGAAATAAGTCTTTGTTTAGCGGAACTTGATTTTGATCGCGATTATGGTAATTGACATAAGATCAAACTTGGAGGGTCAGTTAACATCAAAATGGTCTATCAACAACCGAAGAAAAGTCCGAAGTAACACAATCGGGGGCCCTGATGGGGCCCCCGATTGTGTTACTTCGGACTTTTCTTCGGTTTTCTTCAGACTTTTTTTGTGACAAATTTCCAAAACTTCTAATTGTGATAACTTTTGACAAAATGTTACGATTTTGAAAAGTTTTGTACTTATGGAGAGCAGATTAATTTCCAGTTCAAATAATATATAATATGTGAGGTTAATCCAAGGAGAAACACACATGATTTCGACGCAATGGAGAGCACGAGTTTACCATCCATAGGGTGTGACTATGCAGACGCGAGCCAATATGTTTAGTACAGTAATACCTCGACTTATGTGAACCCGAAGTTACGCGATTTTCAAATCTTGTCAATTCATCTTTTGTTTGAGCGCCACACAACCCTTTATTACTCACTCCCCCCCACACTATTGTTCAGCTTACATGTTCAGACGTGTCACGCAGAATCGACGCATAGCTACAATTTATTTTGTGTTATTTATTTCTGTGTTATATCTACGGAGACTTCAGAGACTCTATGTGGTGATTTCTTGTAACCGTGAACGAATCAAAAGACGAGATAAGATTAACGAGAACATTTATTAGCTTACATAATCCGACTTGGATTTTACACAAATTGCGAAATTATACCCCGATTTATGCGGTTATCGCTTGGTCCCACCCCCTATCGCGTAAGTTCAGGGTACTACTGTACGTGCAAAAACATTTTGGTTTGAACACTATTATTATTATTATTATGTTGGGTTTAGTAGGTAATACTCGGTTTAAACCGGTGGCTGTGTACTATGCCGGACCAGAGTCAAGGCATAGCAACCAAAACAAAACTAAAATTAAATGTGTGTGTCAGTGTCTGTATTAAGGAATTTCCTAACAATATGGCATGTATTCAATATAGTGGCCTTCTGTAGTGTGATGTATGTATTTCTACTCAATTGTAATGTTCCCAGGCTTTTGTGTAGC